AGAGAGAGAGAGAGAGAGAGAGAGAGAGAGAGAGAGAGAGAGAGAGAGAGAGAGAGAGAGAGCATAGATGGACGGACGGAGGGATGGATGGATGGATGGATGGAGAGGGAAGGGGAATGGGTGGGTAGGTGGGGAAATTGAGTTGTGGACACAAACAAGTGGGGAAAAGGATGTTTGCTGCTTTACAATTCCATTCGCTTACGTGTTGGTGTTTTGAATTTGTGGAAATTGCAGGTCAGGTTCTGGAGAGGCGGCCGTTATGGAGGATGAGCTTGCTCTCCGACATGTTTTGGGGGGTCGTCAATTTCGTGGGGGTCTTCTTCGGCACCCTCTTCTCGGTATCTCTCGTTAATCCTAAAGCCCTCAAAGCAGGCCAGGTTCATAATTCTAAACCCACAAGTTCGTCGTGTCAGAGCTATGTTATAATAATAAGTAATTCTACAAACCAGGCACCAAACCTGTTGCCCTCCCCAAATGCCCCAAAGCAGGCCAGGTTCATAATTCTAAACCAGGAACCAAACCCCTTCTCGGTATGTCGTTTAACCCTAAACCCAAAAGTTAGTCCTGTTCCGTACCGAATCCAGGTCGTGTCCGAGCTATTGTTGTTATAATAAGTAATTCTATACTACAGGTGCCAAATCTGTTGCCCTTACTAAAGCGCCAAAAGCAGGCCAGGTTCATAATGAATGAACCCTTGATCTGCAAATGGCCTTCTGGAGGACTCAGTCTTCCTCCCTCTCATCTCTTGGTAGCTTTCTTCCACACTACCGTCTTCACCTGAATAGAACGCCCAATCATTATAGGTGTATTTGGCAGCACTTTCGGTCCAGATGCAGCGATAATGACCGGGCGTTCTATTCGGGTGAAGAGGGTAGCCAACCACCCTGCTGTTGTGCCGAGACCTGTGCGAACAACCCTGCTGTTGCCCTTCCCAAAGGCCCAAAAGCAAGCCAGGTTCATAATGAATGAACCCTGGGGGCATTCATAGATAAGTGGAGTTGGGATGAGTGGGCATGGGTGGGAGGGGAGATGCCTGGTACTCTGGCTGCTGTTGTGCCGCCGACGGAACCCGTGGTTGTTATTATCATAATATTACGGCTGTATTTAGGACATTTTTTGGACCATATACAGCTATATTGGCCGTGCTGAATGTTCCCCGGGACAATTTTTGGGGCACAGACAGCTATCATGGCTGTGCTGAATGTGCCCCGGTGGAGGGGGGGGGGGGGGGGGGGTTGGGGGGGGGGAGAGGGGTAGGGAGTAGGGCGGTGCCTGTTGTGTGTGTGGATAGGGAAAAAAATTGACTGTATGCTGGGACTCCGTTTTCTTCTCTGGAATGCAATTCCCCCCTGTAATCATGACTGTATTTGGACGGGAACAGCGGCTATATACGTTCATGATGATGGGTCGTCATGTGTAGCATATCAGAAAGTGAAATGCACTGAAAGCCTAGGATCTAGCAATGACGAAAGTGGCAACAACCAGCAGCATAGGTGCCACATTCACAAGG